CCAGAACCAGAGCTGGAGTCAGTGTGGAACCAGAACCAGAACCAGAACCAGAGCTGGAGTCAGTGTGGAACCAGAACCAGAACCAGAGCTGGAGTCAGTGTGGAACCAGAACCAGAACCAGAACCAGAGCTGGAGTCAGTGTGGAACCAGAACCAGAACCAGAACCAGAGCTGGAGTCAGTGTGGAACCAGAACCAGAACCAGAACCAGAGCTGGAGTCAGTGTGGAACCAGAACCAGAACCAGAACCAGAGCTGGTCAGAGTGGAACCAGAACCAGAACCAGAACCGGACTCAGCTGAATGAATTGGACCAACACTTCCGGTATGACGCGCGCGCAGCCTCCCCTCCCCCCGGTTTCCTCTGCAGGACAAAGCGGCCACGCTGCCGTTAACGGAAACACCAAAACATCCCCAAACTCCGCCGGTACCGGAACACGCGCCACGCGCGCACACAGACACACACCGGAACACGCACTCACGAGCACGCGCTCTGACGCAGCCCTCAGCTGAACGTGAAGCTCCGTTTGAGTCTGAAAAAAAGAGTCCGCTTCCCGTTTCTGATCCGAACTTTCTGCTCGACCAGAACCATCAGGGACCGACCAGAACCACCAGATATCGATCAGAACCATCAGATATCGATCAGAACCATCAGATATCGATCAGAACCATCAGATATCGATCAGCGGTGTGTCCGTCAGAAGAACGGAACCAGCAGTTCGGTTCTGATTTGTTTTCCAGAAGTGAGCAGACCGAACGGAACAGACACCGTGAGGTCCAGACTCTGACCCAGAACCGGACCGGTTCTGATGAAGTCTGAAGCAGTCGGACGGATAATAAAGAGGGTCTCGGAGAGTTCGGGTGGACCCACCTTCAGGTTGATTTCCTTCATCCTGTCGGTCCTCCTGCTCTCCAGCAGCCGGGACATCCTCAGCTGATCAGAACCCGACCAGAACCCGACCAGAACCCGGCCACAAATCCACCACAGACCGGATCAGGAACAAAGTGCGGGGTTCTGGTTCTGGTCCCGTATCCGTTCGTGGTCTGTGTCGGGGGCGGAGCTTGTCTGTGACTGACAGCGCCTCTGTTCACTTCTGACCAATCAGAGCGCAGCCCGCTGCCGTGCTGCTCGGCCAATAGGATCACAGCTCGTACTTTAAGGCCCGCCCACTTACACATGTTTGAGGGGGTTTGATTTTCATACCGGGGCAGCGACGACCACGGAGTGGGCGGGACTAGTCTCTATGACAACGTGTCAGGGGGTCACGTGATGCAGACCAGCCAATCACAGCGCAGTGAGAGTCACATGAAGGCGGGGCGGTCCGGACCTTTAACTCCTCCCCCCGGCAGAAAACGGAACAACAGGACCGGTGTGACGTGGAGGTGCTGAGACTAACCCCGCCCACCCAGTCTGCATGCGGGCTGCGCCGGTACGATTTATAAACAACACTTACAGATCTGAGAGGGTCCACCACTGATCAGAACCAGAACCGAGATCCAGAACCAGAACCAGAGCCTGGGCCTGATCAGGACCAAACAACAAGCTGACCCTGAACAGAACAGCTGTCTTTGTTACCATGGCAACAGACTCAAAACACAGCCCGCACTGTGAGAAGGACACCACGTGATCCTGCAGCGCCACCTGCTGGCGGGAAAGTCAGAGAAAAACATTTAAATATAAATAAATTATCCTTTTCTTTTTCTCTTACACCTCATACCCTTCAAAATAAAGGAACTCTTACACCTCATACCCTTCAAAATAAAGGAACTCTTACACCTCATACCCTTCAAAATAAAGGAACTCTTACACCTCATACCCTTCAAAAAAAAGGAACTCTTACACCTCATACCCTTCAAAAAAAAGGAACTCTTACACCCCATACCCTTCAAAATAAAGGTCGTCTAACCCTCATACCCTTCAAAATAAAGGAACTCTTACACCCCATACTCTTCAAAATAAAGGAACTCTTACACCTCATACCCTTCAAAATAAAGGAACTCTTACACCCCATACCCTTCAAAATAAAGGTCGTCTAACCCTCATAC